AGAACGCTCGACTTGTACGGCCGTGAACTGGGAGGCAGAAAGAGCTGTGCTCTGTAGTGACATGCTGCATATTCATAAAATCGTACTTTGAAAAAGGCAGCCTCTTGTGTTTACATCGCAGTTCTAAAGAATTTTTATTTCACCTATTAATTGAATTACTGCTACATTTTATTTTTGTTTAAATCAATGTGTCAAAAAGCTTAAATTTTTATTATTTTTATCGCAGCGACATTCGCCACACTGTGATTTTATCTGAAAGACCCAAGCTTTAAATTACATTATTCATGCAGTGAGGAAAGTAACCCCAAGTTAATATGCGATTGATTTTCACAAAAGCAACAGAGAGAACAGGAGATGGTGGCCATGCTGTTAATGCTCTGCTTGAGCCCTTTTTGCCAGATCCACAGCCCCGAAATGTTTGAGAGCATTTCTGCTGGTGAAAGCAAACGGAGAGAGAATCAGCAGCTTCCCTTGATGGGATCTCAAAATCTAAGCCCTCAAAGGTTAATGTGCTGCAACTTTCAGACGTGCTTCTGTTTTATCACGCCTGCATCACATCATATGGTCTGCATGAACGGACTCCACGCTGGAAGAAAAAAGCCACAATTGCAAAGCTCCTGTAGAATTTTCTTATCCTCCTTGACTTAAACTTCTCAGTTGCCTTCGTATGAGGCGCTTATGCTGTACGCTGTGTTGTGAGGTATCACTGAGAGTGTACATTTAATTTCATAACAGGATGAATAAACTGCAGGGTTTGAGGATGTCTTCACAGATCACACTCTCCTTTTTTTGTTTTCAGAGGCTTGTTTATGCTCTCAAACACTTACTGTGCTATTCTTGGCCACGAACTTAAATGGATTTTTAAAACTCAGTTGTGGGGCCCTGCATCTAATGAGGATACTTATGGGATAAAGTTGCACCTCCACGAGTCATTAGGCGCGGCGTCGAGTTTTTAATGTGCAAACCAGAGTGCTCAAAGACAGACACGTGCAGAAAACCTCGAACAAAGCCCCTCCTTTCCCCCCTGCACGCAACAAAGATGGCAAAAGAATATGATGTACGAGGAAATCAATGGACAGCGAATCATCTGCCAAGATGTGGATGTTTTAAGTGACTCGGCGTTCAATGTGTTTGCCAACCCTGAGAGCGTCTGCGGCGAACAAAACAATATCTGACTGACAGGGGGAAAAAAAAACCCCAGAGCACTCCAAGACGGCGAGCATGGCTCCCCCCAGAGCCAGGCGTCTGCTTCGTGCCTCTTTGCGCGCTTGCAGGTGCGTCTCACTTTGCCAAATTTCTCCCTCCAACCCCCTGTTTAGATTTCCACAGACGTTGTTCTAAGAGGCGGCAATCGCCCGGGTGTGTCGCTTAATTTCTTCGGATGATCAGCGCCCGCGGTAACAAGTATCAGGTGCAGAGATGGAGGTGATATCTTCCTCTGAAGCCTCGAGAATGTCCCCGAGCCTCCCACTCCACTGTCACTGATCTCGGCACTTGGTATTCCGGGAAAGATTTGCCAGCGAAGATTCAGATCGCTTTGACAAGAAAAGTAGACCCCGAGACACGGATCGGGGAGGAGAAGACGGACGTGCACTTGAATTTTAAGATAATACCTTGACCCCACCCCCCACACCATCCCTTCCCATTCTCGTTATTAAAAATAATAATATTCAGAGCTTGCGTGCAGAAGAGCGTCTCTGCAGTTTGTAGTGCCACAAATGTGAGCAATGGAGGATAAAGGTGGAGAAGCTGCTAGCTGGCTGCCTTACTGCCCTCAGACTTTTCAAGTAGGATAAAAAACATGCTTAAAAGAGCATCTGGGCATAAGCCCAATGTGTGCACAAGCAAGAGTAGCCTTTTTTCTGTCATCAGGAAAGGATGAATTTAATTTATCAAAGAAAAACAGACTTAATGATGGGAATAAATGTTTTTGGGGACACACAAACAGCAAGATGTCAAAATATGCAGAGTTATGCAGACTGTTGTAGATGCTGCTCGTTATGCATACAATGAGGAGGAGGGGAGGGCGGGAGGAGAGGGATGTTGTTATGTTCAATGCTGTTACACAAGCTGGGTAATTAGCTTTGCTCTGGTGTTCCCTTTGAACCAGAAGAGGACAAGTGGCAGCCATCATATTTTTCTGTTCAGTCCCTGACCAATAATACCACAAAGGTCCAGACCACAGAGGGTCAGAGGTTCACAGATCATCACAATTCCTCACACATTTCCCCAGGAGACCGGGGTAAACACTCAGCAATGCAAAGTCACTATAAGCAAAGTGGATCAGATGCAGCATAAAGGTAACAGTGCAGAACCTGGTCAGAATGTACCACGTAGATCAGTGTTTCCCAACCCTGCATGTTTCTCCCTTCTCTGATACACCTAATTCAGGTTACTGCAGTAAATGCTGTCAATGGAAATCAGCTGGGGCTGAAGGAAGGACACACTGAAACATGCAGGACAGTGTATCTCAGAGGACCATGGTTGGGAAACACTGACATAGATGCTATCAACGTAGTCTCTGTACCTCGCATGCATACGGTTCCTTTGAGCTGACTGCCCTCCGAAGAGACTGCAAGGATCATTTACTCTATCATTGCGTGCACTGAGTTTTAACTTACTGTATGATTTTATACTGTGCCATTTAGAACAGAGTTTATCTAGTGCTTTGTAGCCAATCTAAGATACAGTCGGTTGCACAGCAACTTTAACTGGGAGCTCTTCATCACCGCATATGGACTGAATCAGCGGAAATGTGTAGCTTAGGCTTAATAACGTCAACACAAAAAGCTCAACTTGAACCTAACTGTAACAGTATTGATGTCGTGGTTTATTGTGCAGTAGCTTTTGTAGCAAGTGACTCTGTCTCTCAAAGCGCTCGCCACTAGCATCCAGTAGACAGTAGCTATATATTAGCTACCAGCAGCTTTAAACTCTGACCATGCAGTCGTGTTTCCCATCACACAGAATCACAGACGGCACATATTTTATCTGTCACCAAGTGATAGATAAAATATGATTTGCAATTTTGGGAGAATATCACGATTTGCTAAAAATGATCCGCTAACGTTAACAACGCTAACGTTTGCGCCTGCTTTGAACTGGGAGCTATTTCAGAGTCTGGCTTGCATTTGATAACCAGTAGTTTAAAAAATATATATTAATAATTAGACTGATCACTTCATAACTGTGTAATTATTTACTGATTAGACTATTTGAAAACATGGTGAATTATTTAAACCATTTTCTTTTATTGAAAATAAGTGCTATCCCAGAATATTGCTCAATCTCATTTTATCTCTTTAATCCAAAACGAAGTGCCGTCTGCTGAATAAGTGGGAGCTTCTAGTTTTCTCATTTTAATTTCTTTTCTCAGGGGTTTAATCAATAACGTTGATAATCAGATAAAGTTTGGAAAACACTTTACAGGACGAGAAAGCAGTCACAGTGGTTTGCCTTTCATTCTATATGTAGCATGCTTACATCCCATATTGTTGGACATTGTTTGTTTGTTTGGAGGAAAATCCTTTAATCTTTACATATTTGAAATCTCTCGCAGTGGGATACAAATCTCTTGAACGCCGGCATCCACAAATCATGTTGCTGCCAAGTTGATGAGACTTCATGAGCAGCTACTACATCAAAATCCCAAAGATTTAAGGATTGTTTTGTCACCGTTAGTCTGCATCTCTTCCACTTCTGAGCTTTTTTTTGTTGCTGTTTTTTTGCAATTCCTTCTTTTATGAATGCATAGAAGGAACACGAGTTGTCATAAATCTGAGCACACTGGATCCAGTCTGTAAAAACAAATTGCGTACGCGACGACATTATGTACATTGTATGACACATGAATCTCCTAATTAATGATGCGCTTTGGTTTTATTTGAACCATTTTCTTGGGTTCATTAACCAACTTCAGTTAATTTTATAAACAACAATTTGGCTCGTAAGGTAGATCGATGACACGCAGCGACCCTGCAAGGAAAAGCAGTTTGTTCATCTAGTTAGAATCGATGGACGTGTATTAAGTGAGTTGGTTTCTTGCTGTTGACCTTAATCATAAGCCACATATTGGCTTTTAACCTCAAGAATTATTGAGGTTAGAGCGACTTATTTATTCCAAAACCAGCTCTTATGTGTGTTTGGGTTCATTGTGTTTTGACATATTTTAGTCCATATTGCCAAAAAAAATAAAAAATAAAAAATCAACGACCAGAGACATAAAGGTGAAGTTGTAAGACCTGAAAGTGTTGTATTATTAAACTGTACAGTGTCAGAATAATGCTCTGTTCTTTTTCTTTTCTTTTTGTTGCCATTGTTCATTGTGGTTAACAATTATATTGATGTTCAAATTAACATTATTTATTTTTTGATTAATCACTCAGTCTTCTGTTAAAAAAAGGTTAAAGTAAATCAAGAAAAACTTAAAACCTCATACTCAAACCTCAATGTATGAAAAGTTTTCACTGGAACCGTTTATTGCTTTATAACAAGCAGGGGAAACGCAGCATGTTTTACTCCCCAAAATAAAACCGAGCTATGAATTCTGTCTAAAAACAGCTATTTAATCTGTCGTAAGCAAGAAGCATTTTTAACAAATCAACTTTAATTAGCCAAATGTAGTCCACTCACCCCTGCCAATGCACATCACTGTGATGTTTGCATTTCAGAATATTAATTCCTCTTTATTGCCCGTCTATTCCCAGGCATGTCCCTCATGCGCACTACAGCAAATACTCTCTGTGCCTCGACGTGCCGAGTAACGCCGGACACCGGAGTTAAATTTCCAGAAACAATCATTTGACCCACTTCTTCTCGCACCTGCAGTTTTGCTCGACTTTCTGTGTGAAGTTCCTGCACCATCCCGCATGACACCGCAGCGTGCCGCTGCATTTTTCACTTTTTTTTTTTTCACTTTTGTTTTTGAGCTGGCAGAGCTCACTGTGCAAGGGGCGTGAAACCACTCACTGTCAGCGTGTAGATGTTCAGACAAAACTTACCAAATATCAAGCCCTGGTGTCCATCACAGGTTCAGCTGCAGCATCCTGAACAGGCAGCTGCCAGACAGTCAGGGCGATGCCGAGGACTCCAAATGCTATGAAAAGCAATGCTCCTGAGAGACAAAAAAAAAAAAAAAAAAAGTGTGATATTCAACACAAACACCTCAACTACACAAACTACATTTCCTTCAAGGCTATTTGAAAATGTTCCTAATGTTTTTATTTATGATTATTTACCCATCAGAACATCTTGTGACACACAGATGACACAAAAATAGAGCATAATTTATTAGGCTTTGAATCTCATTGAATTAAAATCCACATCAATGCTCCTCTTAATGACTGGTCTTACTGTATTTCGCTAATTTAAGAATATGTTTTAATAATGTTTACCTATTATGTTTCTTTGCCTTGTGATTCGGTTGAGTGACTCATCATTTGAAACCTTGAATGTAAAAACAGCCACAGGCTTTCGAATGCATTTTATCCATAATTTTACTTTGTTGACATGCTGGTCTTTCTCTAGCTGGAAGACCACAATAATGTTATCCCATTTTCATTGCTGGTTGTTTAACATAACAAATTGTATGTGCTGAATTAAGAGCTGTTCTTCCTCGACGACCAGCCTTTTGTAGCATCTCATCAAATTTTGATATTCAGATCTAGACAATTTTGCAGCTCTTGATTGTGCTGTAAAATTGCGCCATTCCGCATCGCAATCAAGTAACTGTTAACTTCAACTGGTATAAAAAGGTTGAAGATATCAATTACAACTTCCCAATTTGACGCTTCAAAATTGGCCTCTGCCTCTTTAAGAAGCTTCTACCTATTCCTTCAACAAGACCTCATAGCCATGCCTCTCATTGGTGTTTGTTCTTGTGGTGCGTTCACAAGGAACGCGTTACGCGCATCAAAAATGCGTCTCGATGCTGCAAGTTTGAGACGTGTGTGCACTTTGAATGCAGATGGTTGACATTTTGATCTACGCCAAGCAATTACTCTTTATTAAAAGATTATTGTTTTCGCTGCCAGAAATAAATCCTAAACTGAGAAATGCAGAGAAACCACCAAGCTTTCTTAAATGTGTCATTGAATATGTTCAGTCGAGCAAAAATAATTAACTTCAGACCACTTTTTATTTTGGTATGTGATGAATCCATTGATGTATGTTGATATCATGAACATAGTGGATCAACACCATGCTTCTTTTTTCTTTTTCACAAAGGGAATAGCTAAATGTGAACAAACCATGATCAAGAGCTTTTTTTCTAGCCAAGTTTAGCAGGCCTTGAAACGCACTTCCAAACAATATTCAAGCAACAAAGGAGGTCGCATTTCTCAACACACCAGAGATGCTGTCAGACATTCATAATCTCATTGACTGAGCTTGCTCCTTTTTCCACTTGGCAGCTTTGGGCGCGATATGAACGCTGATCTGATTATGAAACAACAGGAAAAGAAACAAGCAGCAGCGGAGGAACGCAGCCGAAGACGGCACGGCTATGAATGTGTGTCCCGTCATTAATATTTCACTGCATCACCGTAGCTATAAGAGAACAAAGGAGTGCGGTGGAAATGTATTTTCTTAATTATTTTTTTTCTGCAAAGCTTTGGATTTCATCTGTGCGAAACAGAACGGGCGAATCTTCTGCTCATGATGAGGTTTGTGCCAAAACAAACAGAAACAAAATTGGTGATTAACGCCTCTGGATAATTACTGCATGCTTTAAAGGGAGGGTATAGCTAGTATGTACACATTAATAAAAATAGGCAACGATTTCAGAGAGGTTATTGTTTTTATTGCAACATTTCTGTTTGGGTTTTTTTTCGTCTTGCCTTTTATGACATCGGGAGGAAGGTGACTGTCAAGGTCGGTTTCTCACTTGTCCCAAAAATCCTCAAAACGATCGACATGGCACAGTCACGGCTTCACTTGCGTTGCACATTCCAGGTGAGATTATGAAATCAGGTGAGCCTTCGTGCATGAAAATACACAACTCTGCACTCAGGTCGAATGCGTTTCTGCGCATCGGTTGGCACTCCGACAGATTCTGAATCCTCGTCACCTTCATCCGGACGATCAAGCATTTGCTCTTCGATACATCATCCCGGTCCCAATTCCAATTCCACTTTATCTCAGGGTTCACGTCTATCGGAGTTGAGGAAATAAGGAGATACAGGGAAAATGGTTGATGGTGTTCAAGAAAAAAATATAAAGAGGTTCCAAGCAAATCACCACTTAGGCAAGAATGAACTTTCTGCTGTGGGATTGGGAAACGCTAGCTTCGTTTTATCTCCGACGTTTCTTCCCTGCCTGTGTGAAACAATCCACCCTCTAAAGCTCTACAGCCACAGCATTTGACCTCTCTTTCTTTTTCCCCTCGCAGGTATATGAAGCAAAATGATCTGCGGTGGCACACAGCTCTGGCCAAAGGACACACTATATCAAGTCATTATCCATCAGAGTGATCCCTTCGTGTCTGCGCCAGACAAAGACAGTTGTTAGGGGAACAGTCATTCTCTTGTTCTGTCAGCTGTTACTCAACGAGTCAACGGGAGCGAATCAGACTTCCGTCTTTGGCCGCGTTCTGTCGCAGGAGAAGAACGGCTGTGGGTGGCATCGCAAGAGGGAAAGAGAAGAAACGAATCCAGCAGGCCAGCTGGGCCGGTGGATCAATGCTAAATATTTCTTCTAGAATAACCTCCACTATGAAATTCATCTTCAATGTCAGCTTGTTTGCTGGACATAAGCAATCCTGACAATGTTTCTGTTGGTTGTCCCTGAAAGTAAATGATCAGAAGTGGAAAAACAGTGAGCGTATTAGTACTTTATAGAAACCTTTCCTGGAAAAGGCGCAAAAAAATAGAAAAGAACCAGGCTTCAAGTCGGACATGTTTGGATGATGCAAGAGAGATTAAGCTTTTATCTTAATCTGATGGTTTTGCTAAAAGAAGAGGATAAATAATTTCACATTTTAAAGCACACATAATTGGTAAACCTGGAAGATATTTTGAGAATGACATTGTTATTATTATGCTTTGGAACTGTTTTTTTCTCAGGGTGGGATGACGACACAATGTCTTGAATGTAGCTTAAAAACAAGCGTCGGAGGCACATGTTTGAATTTCATGTAGGTTTTGTTCCCAAACCATACAGACACACACAAACACACGCAGGCAAACTAACACATACAGGCTCAAATGCTCCACTAAAGTTCTGGTTAAAACAGAAACACGCCTTACTTTGAACTTGAAATTATTGTAGCTATCAACTCATTTCTTGCATCATTTTTGCTGGCCTTTGACCTCTCTCCTTGGCAGAATTATTAACTGGTTTTATTAACTAGCAGTGACCCAGCGCTAAAGCCTGGTAAAAACCAAACTACTATTGTGTGGTTCGTTTCATCCAGGGGTCTGAACCTTCTGCTATTTAGAAACAATTGCTTCCTGGTAGTGTGGCCTCTATTGAAGTTTTAAATTTTACCCAATCACTAACATTTGACCGTGGCGTATGTAATGTGCCAGTTTGACGCGATGAAGCTTACCGGAAAGTGCCTGCACTGTAAACAACCGTTTAAAGTGCCAGGCCGAACCTGATGGCTGTTAACGTTCAATAATTGGAAGCTGAACAACTTTGTTCACTTCCTCCACTGCCTTTGCTAAACAGTAGCAAAATAAAATTGTACAACAGTGTCAAAAATCAATGTCGTTGGTCTCAGCAGCTGAAGCTGAAGTGGAGAAATCGAGTTCAATGGGAGAAATCCCAGGCATACCACTGAACATCAAGTGAAGTTGCACAGGAAGGCAATGGTCAGGCTGCACCTGACCATTGCCTTCACCGTTGTTTTGAAAGCCTCACCTTGACTCCGTATTCACAACACAAACATGGTGTGGTTCTTTGTAGTGTGCATCTGCCCTAATTTTGCCAAGCAACAACTGTTTGGCTAGCTTTGCTAGCTGGGCTAGCAGATAACTGATGCTATCTGAATGTAGCTTACATTCTGGAGCTCACGCCAGCAGCTGGGTAAGCTCTAGATGATTTTTAATAACTCACATGCAGCAGTATGAGAACTTCATTTTAGCACAGACTCCTAAAGAGGTTTCTTTGTTTTTATTACAGGCCTTAATTATTTTTAAACCGTCTGATCAAGAAGGTTAAGGTCTGAATTGAAAATTATTATTATTTTCTCTCCACGGAGGAGCCCCGTTCTCCAACTTCAGCGACTGCGGCGTCGAGATAAAGACGAGCAATAAAGCGGGGCGCAGCTGTAACACGCTTGTTAGAGGACAATCTCAATGTCACATCGGCTTTGCGCGCAAGTGACAAACCACTCAGTCAGATAATAGTCACACTGCTCAGGAGTTCAGCATAGCCTGATGGCTTTCATAACCATGGGGGTTAAAGTCGTCCTCAGCAGATCCGCGAAGCCGCCTCCTGTCAGGCCATTTCCTATTTTTACCAGCTGTGGTCACAACTGCCCTTGTCAGCACTTTGATTAATGGGCTCCTTTTCACATGAGATCATGGTCACTATATGGCAAACTATCAATTATGCGCCGTACATGTCCATGTTTTCTCCAGCCGCGTACCCGCATTCATTCACTAATTACACGGCTAATAGGGTTTTAAGCTAGCAACACCCCAAAACGCCGAACTAATGGGATATATGTCACTTAGTAAATTAGATATATCCTGCTCGGTCTGATCTCTCACAATAAAAACAGAGGCTAAAACCACAAAAGTGAGGCAATTATTTCAGACAAGCAATTGTTTTTCGTCTGAGCTCCCATTGCATCACAACCATAGATAAAATGGTTTGAAGGAAAATGGCTTGTCGGAGAAGAATAATTGAATAATTAGCTTTTTATTAGCTTCTACAAACCCTTGCCTTTACAGGTCAGGCAAAAATGAATTGGTTTTACGTGTGCCCCCCCAGACAATCAATACTCATGAATCTGCTGGTGGAGGAAGGAAAGGTTACCAGGAGAACAACAGGAACTAAAAGGAGGATTGAACTGAAATAAAACACCCATCTCAGTGTTATTTTCTGGTTATTTTCCTGTGTTGCTGCAGGTGATACTTTGCCTAATTTTAACATACAAGTAGGAGTGGA